GGCTTTCTACTTTCTAGGGAACTTGAGTAATTCCAATGAATCAATGAATAAGCTTGTCAGCCAAAGTCAGTCTTCCCAAACAGGGAACATCTGTAAAGAAACTACCATCAAAACCACACCATTGTATTTGTTGGCCTATGTACCAGAAGTAGTGGTTGGTTACCAAGAATAATAACAACTGAAATGCCTACAACTATCTAATATATATGTGATGGCTCAAAAACTCAAGGACCTAGATTTTTTTTTCTTTCTTTTTTTTATCCTCACCCCAGGACATTTTTGCCAAGGACATTTTTGCATTTATCTTCAGATAGAGCGGGAGGGAGAGAGGGAGAAAGAGAGAGAAACATCAATGTGAGAGAGAGACATTGACTGGTTGCCACCCACACGGCCCAACTGGGGCCAGGGACAAACTACAACCGAGGTACGTGCCCTTAGTTGACCCGTCCCGCAGGTCGAGCAACGAGGACTCTAGAAGGGGTGTGAGGATGAGGAGGGACAAGAGACACGAGAAATGGAGACGACAGGATTCTGATCAAGTCTCGTTTATTCAGGGGGTGTTCACATAATATATAGAGGAAAAACAGGTGAAACAGTCAATGAGTATCCCACCTGAAGCAAATTCCAGTAAATACCCCAGGTGGAACAAATGATAAGCAAAGAACGGAGTAAACAATTACCTAGAGGAATGCAGACACTGTATGCAGAGAGACCCCGCCCTGGGGCCGGAGACAGCAGAGCAGACTTTAACAAGATGGATACCATGCAAATGGTCTCCCACACTTAGTGGGAACCAAACCCGAACTTTCAGGTCTGCGGGGTGACACTCCAACCGCTGAGCCGAACCGGCCAGGGCTAGATTTTTCTTTTCTTGATTTTTTTTTTAGAGAGAGAGGAAGAAAAAGATAGAAACATCGATGAGAGAGAACATCGATTGGCTGCCTCCTGCATGCCCCCCCTGGGGATTTGGCCCACAACCTGGGCATGTGCCCTGACCAGAAATCAAACCAGCAACCTCGGTGCATGGGTTGACGCTCAACCACTGAGCCATACCAGCCGGGCAAGGACCTAAGATTTTGACTTACATATATGATACTCACCCAGAGCATTAATTGTAGTTTTTACCTTAGATGAAACCTGATTTAGGAGGCTGGAATGCCTTCTCACAACTGCCTTCTGAAGTTTTGAGATACTAAAATGATCACTTATATCCAGAGACTTTTTGAGGCTTGTAATACTCTTCAAGTTTTGTGGTTCAGACTTTGAGTCATGAATTTCAACCTTCTCTGAACTTCTCTTAAAGTTGATGCCATCCTTTGCATATGATCCCCGGAATCCTACATCATTTCTGTCAATCCCATCCAGGATTTTCTTTTTTGCAAGATATTTTTTGATCTTTTAAATTCCAGGTCATCATTCTCCTCCATAATTTTATGATATTAGAGGTTTTTTTCTACTTAACTTTTAGGATAATGACAGCTCAGACTGTCTAGAAGATAAAATGCTTTTCTTCCTGTATGGTGGACAACCTCCTGATAAATTTGATAACTTTCTGTTTGAAGTAGCTTTATCCAAGTCTGATCATCCCATAATTGCTAAGCAAGAGAAACATATTCAATTATTTAATTCATCTATACAATTTCTAATGTTTTTAAAAATAATAACTAAGTCCTCATGAAAGCTTTTCAAGAAATTATCAGTTGTTTAAATACATTAAACAAAGTTAATTAGTTGAAAAACCTAACAGCTGAAGATCAAAAGATTAAACTATTAACTAAGTTAAATATAATCTGATGGTTTAATATATTTAAATACTTCTATCCAAAGCTATTCAAAGTTACACTGATCTAAATCTCAGAACATTGGATGCAAAGAAAATATATAAGCTTGCAAAGTCAAGAATCAGTTACATACATGGGGTCAGAAATCAGAAAAAATTTTTTTCAACAGTAACACTGAAAACTAGAAAATCCAAAATTCTGAGGGAAAATTATTTCTAATCTAGAATTCTATACCCAAATCATTCATCAAACATAAAGACAGAATCTGATACAGAAGGAAAGAAGTGAAGTCTCCAGAATGTTAATGGAGATCCCAGGATGACAGCTGCACCCAAGATGTAGAGGGCAACAAATCCATATTGAAGAATATTAGAATACCACTCTAAGGAAGATTTCTTCAAGAAGACAAAACTGATAGACTACCTGGTGCATCCAAACTTATGGAGAGGATATTTAGACAGATGGTAGCGTTTGGGGTTGCATCAGTAATAAATATACCTTTTTAAAACAAAGTAAACAGGAAGGGATAAACTGAAGAACTTATATGTATATGTGCACAACCAATCGACATGGACACTAGGCTGAGAAAGGCAGGAGGGGGGTGGGAGTGGGAAGGAGGGGGTCAATGGGTAAAACAGGGGGACATCTGTAATACATTCAACAATAAAAATTTTTTAATAAAATAAATTTAAAAAAAAACTAAGCAGATAAGTAATTATTATCTAAAGACAAAATTTGCACAGAAAAAGAAAGTAACAAGAAGATACTATATGGCTCAGCTGTGGATAGTGTTTATATTAAATATTAATATAAATACTAAATTAAAAATTAGTCAGATTATCGCTGGCCAGTTTGGCTCAGCGGTTGAGCGTCGGCCTGTGGATCAGAGTCCCGGGTTCGGTTCCTGCTAGGGGCACGTACCACAAAAAAAAAAAAAAAAAAAAAAGACTTAAAAAAAAATTAGTCAAATTACCATATAACTATATTGGAAGGATGAATAGGTATGTGAAGAGTAAGTGGATATGGTGGGGACAGGGAAGATGAAAGAGAACTAAATCCTTATTTTTCATAGCAGGAGTTTACTGTGTGTACCCAAAAATTAAAAAATCAAGAAGTAGCAATATAAACAAATTATTTACAGTCATGCAGATAAATACCAAGTAATCAGCTAAAACATTTAAAATGTTTGCCTCTGGTCCTGGCCGGTTTGGCTCAGCTACTGGAGCATCGGACTGCGGTCCAGAGAGATCCGGGTTCGGTTCCTGCTAAGTGCGTGTACGTCGGTTGCAATTTGTCCCGGGCCCTGGTTGGTCGTGCGGGTGGCAGTCACTCGATGTGTCCCTTTCACATCGATGTTTCTCTCTCTCTCTTCCTCTCTCTCCCTCCCACTCTGTCTGAACAAAAAAAAAAAAAAGGAAAAATGTCCTCCAGTGAGGATTAAAAAATAATAATAATAAATAAAATAAAATGTTGGCCGCTGGAGAAGCTGAGGGGAGGATCAGGCAAGAGACTGCTTTCTTTTGTAGCAAGCTTTATATAGAACTACATACTGCGATTCTTAAAATGATGTACTTAGATAATCTTAACCAAATGATAATTGAACAAATTAAAGACTAAGAATTGACATGATGTGCAATAGGGAGATAAAAACAACCTACTTAATGAAGAAAAACTAAACTAAATAATGAATGATAGCAAAGAACATACTAAAATTTTTTAAATGACCAATGTCAGGATGTCAGAATGACCCACAAATTGCAAATTAAGTATTATCTTTTTTAAGTGTTACTATTTTGTTTTAAAGTTGACTTTACCATGTTCATTCCAGCGTTACTTAAAATAGCCAAGATTTGAAAACTGTCCAAGTGCCTGTCTGTGGATGAGTGGATAAAAACGCTGTGGTACACACAGTGGAATACTACTGGGTGTAAAAAAGAAGCACATCTTACCTTTTGTGACAGCATAGGTGGACATGGAGAGTATCATGCTAAGTGATATAAGCCAGTCAGAGAAAGATAAGTACCATATGATTTCACTTACATGTGGAATCGAATGAACAAAATAGAAACAGACTCACAGATACAAAGAAGACTGACAGCTGTCAGAGGGGAGCGGGAGTTGAGGACCTGGTGAAAAAGGTGAAGGGATTAAGCTAAAAAAAAAAAAAAAAGGAAAAGAAAAGAAAGAAATCATAGAAACAGACAACAGTGTGGTGATTACCAGAGAGAAAGGGTAAGGAGGTAGAACAGGGTAAAGCAGGGCTAAATGGTGACGGAGAGAGATTTGGGGTGGCGAACACACAGTACAATAGACAGATGATGTATTATAGAACTGTATACCTGAAACCTATATAATTTTATTAACCAATGTCACCCCAACAAATTCAATAAAAATAAAAAAGTTGACTTTACATGGCAAAATATTAAGGGAAAGATAAAAGTAGCAAAATCACGATCAGTCCATCATCCCCCCAGTCAGCGTCTCTGTCTAACAAAGACAGGAACATCCACTTCAGCCGAGAACCTGAGCGCGGACTCCGCAGGCCCCGCCCTCCCTCACGAGCCCCGAGCCCCGGAGTCCCCAAAGACACTGCCCGCCAGGTGACAGACAAGGCCTGGGGGGTCTCAGGGACGCAAGGCGCGGGGCGCTGCCCAAGCACGTGACCTCCACCCTTCTAGAACGACCACCCTCGCTGCAGGACCGCTGTCTCTGCCCCGTGTCCCTCACTTGGCCCCTTGACTCTCCAGCCCCGTCTCTAAGTCACCTCCTGGTCCTTTCTGGAAGCTTCACCCATCTCTGTAACTGTTCGCGGTGCACTCTCCTCCCTCAGCCTCTTCCTTCCCACCGTCTCAGCACGTCTCACCTCCACCACACCCGTCCCCCGGGAGCCCCACCGTCGGCCCCCTCGGGTTCCCCGGCTCGCTCCCTCCCTCCCTCCCTCCACCGCCCGAATGCCCGCTCCTCCGCGGCCTGCTGGTCCTCGCCTCCTGCCCCTCAGCCCGTCGTGCAGTTCGACGCCCACTCTGCCGCCTTCCCGCGGTTCCGCGCAGCGACGCCCCGCCCCCAGGTCACCTGACCGCGCCCGAGGCCCCGCCCATTGAGCCGCCAGGGCTCCGGGCGCCAGGACCGCGGCGAGCGGCGGAGCTCGCGCCTCCGCGCGGACCGGATGCATTGCGTCCGCGCCGGTGTGCATCATCTCATAAGGTCCAGTGTCCTCACCTGGCCCGGCCTCCGCGACCTGAACTGCAGTGGCGTGGCTTCTCTCGGCGTGCTTTCCTTCCCGCGTCCGCGCCTCCATTGCGCCCTCCAACCTGCACGCCCCCATTCTTCCTACAGCGCTGGTCATTCTCATGCTCTGTTTCGCCCTAGTCTGACCCCATTTCAACATTACTTTTTGTCCATCTTTTGAATACCTCCCGCCCTCCCCTTCTTCTAAAACATTCCTTCCTTCTTGGTTCTTCTGCTCAATAATGAACAGCCGCTCGGAGCCATTTGTCCCACTGCTTTGCTGAAATTTGTTCCAGGCTTCAGAGGACTGGCGCTTACTTTTGGAAGACAGGCTTTGCCCTTTTTGAAAATCAACTTCTCTTTTCCTGCATCCTGCAAATGAAGTGATACTACAGTAAAAAAAGACAAAGCGGGTTTTCCATGCTTTCCAAAGTTACGATGTCGCTAAAAGGTTGTGTAAATCTAATTCTGTGAAATTAATCATTTGTAAGATTTACTAGAGTTGTAAATGCTCTGTCAAGCAAAGCGTTTTGAAAATATTTTCCTCCAAAAGCCCACGATTTAAAGTATTTTTCTTGACAAACATAGGTCATTTGTTCACATTAATTGATCCAACCTGAGCTCTCCATTGTTTACATTATGGTGAACATTTAGAGCAGATCTATCCAAGTTCAAATCCTAACTATTTATTTACTGAATTGCAGTGGGGCAAATTACCTATGCTCTCTCAGGCTCAGTTTTCTCACTCTTTCAGGGTTGTGATAATTAAAATTGTATATGTGCTCAATAAATGTCACAATAGTTAATCTCTTCAGTGATACTATTTTGTATCTTAAACCCTGCTATGTAGGCACTCTTTAGTACTTTAAAAATGTATGTGGGTATCTCCCTAAGTAGTCTATAAGTAATCTAAGTGCTGAGACCATGTCTTTTATTTTTGTAAATGCCCCTCCATCCCCTACTTCCCCACCCACCACCCTGTTTACAGTAATTACCTCTATTAATGGACTCAGACCATTTGCCACTATTCATTAAGCATCATTTTCTCTATATATATACATATACATATACGGTATATATATACATATATATACAGTATATAAATATATATACACACACACACATATGTGTGCATATATATATTTGTTTGTTTTTTTATCCTCACCCAAAGACACTTTTTCAATTTTTTGTTCAGATAGAGTGGGAGGGAGAGAGAGAGAGAGAGAAACATCCACGTGAAAGGGACACATCGAGTGGTTGCCACCTGCACGACCCAACTAGGGCCGGGGCAAACTGCAACCGAGGTACATGCCCTTAGCGGGAACCGAACCCGGGTCTCTCTAGACCGGAGGCCGATGCTCTAAGCGCTGAACCAAACTGGCCAGGGCTATATATGTTTTTATTGATTTTTTTTTTAGAGAGAAAAGAAGGGAAAGGAAGAGAAATATCCATGTAAGAGAAACATCGAACTGCTGCCTCCTGCAGCTCCCCTACTGGGAATTGAGCCCAAAATTCGGGAATGAGCCCTGATGGGGAATCAGACTGGTGATCCTTTGGTGCATGGGACAACACTCAACCAATTGAGCCACACCTGCCAGAACAAGCATCATTTTCTAATGTGTAAGAATTATAATGGGTTCAGTCTGTATGCTGATCAACAGACTGTGCATTTTTAACAAATCTTGAACACATTTTTTTAGTACTGAATGTATTGATGATTTCAGTTAGTCAGTTTTACAGACTCCTAATAACACCAGCGGTATATTAGTTAGGATTAGATTCTTTTACCATTAACAGAAAATCCTTAAGTAATAGTAACTTAAGCAATAGAATGTTATTCCTCTCTCACATTCAAGAGATTCAGAGATACACTCCAGGACTAATATGTTCCATAGCTATTTTATTGCTCCATTGGCTTTCATTTTAACAATAGTTTAAGGGAGGTACCTCAGAGTAGCTTTCAGTCAGACAAAAGACTCTCTAAACAAAGTTTTTAAGGTTAGGCTTCTTGGATCCTCTCAAACAATAAGGCTTGTAAAAAGCTTAAAGCCTTTGTCCTTCAGCAAAAGCCCAAGGTAGAGAAAGATTTATCTCAAAGATATTTATGAATATTGCTTTTATCTCTTGGGCTGAAATCCAATAAGATTTACAGGAGATTCACAATATTTTAAAGAGCCTTATATTGTCAGAAACATTGCCAGCTTGGTCTGAAAGAGACAGAGTACAAAAAAGAAAGAGGCCTTTGAACCCTTAAGTTCTATAAGCAGGAGGCAGGCTAAGAAAACTATTTAGGTGCAAACACATGCTACCATTCATGAAAAAAATAAAAAGGATGACTTAAGAGTATGAAACCAAGCGCTTAAACAGTAGAACCAAAAACTGAAACCAAGTGCTTAAACGGTAGAACCAAAAACCATGGGGGATTATTATCATGCCTTGAATGTATAATTGCAAACCTGTATCCAAGTCAATTTCAGAATTACTATAGAGCAGGGACTTCTGTGCACCTCCTGTTTTCTGCCTGTTGGAATAAGAATGTCTGTAGGAATTATCCTGCCTGTCCCACCACCATTTTACATTGGTTATTTTAGGAAGGAAACATATGGCATTTTTTTTTAGTTTGCCAGACTTCAGATTGAGAGGTACCCAAGTAGCTATATAAAAGAACTACATCCAAGAAGCCTCATCTGCCCTTGAACCTATGTACATATGTATGTATGTATGTATTTTTGTTAATCCTCCCCTGAGGCTATTTTTCCATTGATTTTCAGAGAGAGTGGAAAGGAAGGAGGGAGGGGAAGAGAGAGAGACAGAGAGGAAGAGAGAGATATATTGATTGGTTGCCTCTTGTACATACCCTGATCAGGGCTGGAATTAAACCTGCAAGCCAGGTATATGCCCTTGACCAGGAATTGAACCTGAGACCCTTCAGTCCATAGGCTGATGCTCTAACTGCTGAGCCAAACTGGCCAGGAACCCTGGACCTATTTAGAGGGTAAGACTCCAAATTTTGTGCTGTTGCTATAACAGGATAAGATTTGGGGCCTTGAAAGAGGTGGGTGTATTTTGATATTATAAATAATTTGTGGCCAGTAAGTGGACTGTGTTAGTTTTAAAATATGTTCACAAATACTTGATGCTTACTTATATCAGTTCCCTACTGCTACTGTAATAAATTACCACAAACTTAGTGGCTTAAGCAACAATTTATTATTTTATATTTCTGGAGGTCAGAAGTCCAAAATAGGTCTTACAGGGCACAAATCAGAGGCTGCATTCCTTCCGGAGGCTCTAGGTAAAAATCCATTCCTTATCTTTTCCACCTTTCAGTAACTGTGTGTATTCCTTGACTTATGGCCATCGCTCTGACCGGCTTCCATCAGTATATTTGCTATTCTCACTCTGGTCTTCTTGTCTTCCTCTTATAAGGATCCTTATGATTATATTGAGCCTACCCAGATGATTCAAGATAATTTCCCTATATCAAAATCCTAATTAAATCAGCAAAGTCCTTTAGTCCATGTAGGGTAACATATTCACTGGTTTTGAGGAAATGGATATCTTTTGGGGGGAGGGGAGGAGTGGAAAGGCAATGATCTACCACAATGCCCCTCCCTTCAAGAAATGGCATCTAGTCCCCTCTCCTTAAATGTGGGCTGGATTTGGTGAGCTACTTTTATTAAAGAGAGTATGGCAGAAATGATGATGATGACATAAAACTAAGCCGTAAAAAACATTGCAGTTCCCTCCCCGGATGGTTTGCTAGAGAAGTCAACTGACATGCCATGTGGACATTCAAGGAGTCCTATAACAATGTCCAAGTGGTAAGGAACTAAGCTTGTTGCCAACAGCCAGAATGGAACTGATGCTTCCTTCCAACAGCCATGAGACTAAACCATCTTAGAAGAGGATCCTCCAGCCCCCTCTGAGCCTTCTACTAACTACAGTTCTGACCAACAGCTTGAATACAAACCCATGAGAGACTCTGAGCCAGAACCACCCAGCAAAGCCATTCCTGAATTCCTAGCCACAGAAACTGCAAGATAGTTTTTATTGTTTTAAGCTGCTAAATTGTGGGGTAACTTGTTATGCAGCAATAAACAACTAATATCTCCTAGGTCACATCTTGATTTATGATGTCTGCTTGAATTCTAGCTATTATCTCTACATTCTAGCCTGCAGGAAGTTGCACTTACTGGAAGTTGTATGCACCTCTTTTATTTATATCTCACTGTCTATGATATGGCCACAGCACATCTAGCTGCAAGAGAGGCTAGGAAACATAGTGTTTATTCTGGGCAGTCATGTGCCCAACTAAAAATTAGGAGTTTTAATATGTGAAAGGGAAAACATATATGGGGGGAAAATTAGCGATCTCTGTCACAATGGGTGATTATAAGGGTCAGGAAAAGCAAAATCCAGCATCCATCCATCAACATTTTTCCTTTCTTAAAGTATTTCCATTGACCACCAAATTATATTTACACACCCATCACCCTGACCTCTCCAAAGAATCATGTCACTTGTGTATGAGTCATGGGGAAACCTGACTAATATACTAGGTAAAACACAATGAATTGTGAAACATTTTACAAAGTTCTTTTCAGGGATACTGATCAAGAATAATCTATAATTGAGGTTTTGCCTTTTAAGCATTCTTAAATACCCTCAATGTTGCTTTCTAGATACTTACATTCTGTGTGCATTCTTTGGTGTATTACCAGAAAATGCACAACTGATGAAAATGTTTCCTCTATGCAGGAAGTTGGAGAGACATCATTATGACAGCAGCTTCAGGAAAACGATCATGTTTCCTGACCTATAATTTTTCTTTCATGTAGAAAACAGTCTTGGTTAGCCTCATTAAGTGGATTTGAACATTTTTATTTATCAATATGAATAACCTTGGTCACAAGCATTTAAAACTGCCTCCTTGTGTGCTTTAGTCAAACTAAACAAAAATTAGGAATATATATTTCCAGAAATATATTATATTACAAAACCAAATAGAAATTATTTTTCAACAGGTACTAAGTGGCATATTTGATATTTCTTCCTGATATCAGTATGAGAAACGAGTTCATTGAAGTTCCAAGACAACCTTCTTGTAATTGGTCCCAGTGGTTATTAGATGGCTATTACTCTAGAGTTCAGACTATAGAGGCCAAGAGTTGAGGGATTACAAATGTGATTTGACATGCAGCTTTTCATTTTGTTTTCACATAAGGTTCTGCATTTTCATCCAGACATTCAGTCATCAGTTACCATGATGTAAATGGATCTTAC